ACATAGATGTTGGTATGGTGTAGGAGAAAATGGCTGAGGTGGACGTGCAGCGGATTGTTTGGCTGCACCCTGCCGATGTAGCAGGCTGCAACAGGCTGCAGCTTGTCAGTGCCACGACTGGGGGGCATTTAAGTTTGTGCAGGAGGAGCGTTTATTAGCCAAAAAGCCAAAATATGGGGACGCTGCATCGCGTGGGTCATCATGCCTGAGCATATCCAGTTTAAGTGCATGCTTCGACTCGCATTTGTTTTCTGGCCCTTCGTTGCAGTGAATTTTTCGGAGCATCTGACACGCTGTTGCCAAAAGCCAAGCATGCCAATCAGCTGGGACAACCGTCCCGCCCACTTCGGTCAGCCGCAGATGTGTTTGGCCACAGCGATTGTCGCCAGCTCGACAAAGTGTAGTTTCAACATGTCTCCTGAGTCTCCTGTCGGCCATCTTCCAACAGGTGGTGCAACAATTCTAATGAGTTTGAACTCCTTTGCCGGGAGTGTTTTCATATGTGAATGTTTGATCCATTGAAGTTGTTGAAGGGAAGCCTGCCTTGCCTTGAGAGCCAGTGCGGCAACAGATGCCCGGTGCGCGATGAGAAGAGAATGAACGTAGCAACGAGCTCATCAGTCAAGGCGAAGCTTGCAACACCTTTGCGCGGGGCGAAAAGCTTCAGGGAGACGCAAGGAAGCGCAAGGAGCTGAGTCGGGCAGGCACGTAAGTTTGCACGCCGGCCACAAGGATCCTGAACCTACCGACATGTTTGCTGGACATTCGGCAGCTAATGCCGACGAGGATCTAGTGAGTCAACTCGTGTAAGCCACCTCATGTGAGCCACCTCGTGCGCCCAGTGAGCTAGCTGAGTGAGTGCCCACATTTGCCAGGCTCTAGGCTTGACTCAGAGGCTCGTTCAAGTAGTGGCAGAGGGGTGCATGTGTGTGCCGGCGCTTGCTCAGTTGTCTTTTTGTCATAGTCATAGTTGATCAACGTGCATACGGCAAATCGACAGATCCCCTTGCCTGCTTATCATGGCAGTAGGATGTGAACTGCATTAGGCCAAAGTGGTTGCCAAACCTGACTGAACCAGCAGAACATCCAGATCCCTGATCAGCGCCATACAGTTGTCATAAACCGCCCTTATCAGCCGGCACATGTCATGGTGAAGGCTCCCCTGCTGCACATTGGGGATCCACACCGTGCAAAGTGGTTGCCCACACGTGCGGTTGCGTGAGCAAAGCTTTTGTGCACTTGCCCTGACCATTTTGTCTCCGCAAATTGCTCCCGTTGCGACTTGCCGGGACAAAGTGGTCTCTCGAAATGATACTGCAGCAAAGAAGTGCAGCATTCTTGAACACCTTGCTCTTTGCAAGCCCGATTCTCCTGACGATGTTACTTCCGGATCGGACTGCATGAGTTGCGATCTTGATGCTCACCACTGCGGATGTTAACGATCACCGGCACATGTGCCAAGTGATGAGCCGTCGCTGAGTCATGGGAGGGCGCAGATCGTTTGCAACCGCACTCTAACTACACGGCTGCAGTAGTGCCTGCAACGCCAAAATTTAAAAACACTGACTGTAGGGGCTTGACTGTTAGCTGCGTTAGCATACATGGGTCTAGCACTGGGAGTGGCTGCTTTGTGTTCTGCTTGCGCCTGAGCCTAACTCAGCGAACTTCTGGCCAGGTATTTCAAAGCTGTGGCTGCTTCGAGGTTGCTGTTGTGCCAAGATGCAACCTTCGGATGTGAAGATGCCTCCTACAACTGGCGAGCGATTTTGTACTGGAAGGGTGCAACGTCGCAACAACGAGGAGAGAAGTGTCCCCGCGCGAGTCGCGAATCAAGTAGTCAGTCGGTAGCAGAGACCAGTTGATAGAGAAGGGGAAGCTGGCACGATGATTTGTGCTGATGCAATGGAAGCCAACTGTCGATGTCGTGAATGCCTTGCAAGTATTGATGAGAGTTTGTCAAGTCCTAGCCTGTAGATTGCTGCTCAAGCCTGGCGTCCCGATGCCGGCTGGCAGTGTTGGCAACCTCGCATGCTCACGTCCACACAGGCCATGCAAGAGGCGTTGTTCATGGAGTGCGCAGTACATCTTAACCAGGAAAAATGCGAGGCGTGTCCGAGGCTTCTGCAGATGGTCCAGCCCGAGGAGCGGGTGGGACGGGAGGCTTTTGCATTTGGCTTGTCGACGAGGCTGACATACGCCCTGTCGGCGTCCAAGGCGTGTGCTTGAAGCGGAGAAGCCCAAGCAAGACCAGAAGATAGTTCTGAGAACTTTGTGGCGTCCATTGCAGTGCTTCTGCCAGCGCGGGTGCCCTGGCTCGCTCCATCATATCTTTGACCCTGTAAGTCAGCCACTCCTCTGATACATTGCAGTGGTCTTGAAAGACTGGCTGCATGTTGGGCATCCAAGTCCCGCATGGTCGACGGCCGGACAAAAGCCAGACATGGGGAAAGCTGTGTTTCTTGGGCAGTGAGGAAGACCAAGGTGGTGTGGCGAAGCTTCCCAGATCCTCCAGGGCTTCGGACGGCGGTTGTTTGCCGGCTAGCGAAGAGAATGGAGAGACACGAGAGACGCTGCAAGGGCTGACAAGGCATGCTTCCTCGTATTTTGGCCGCATGGGCAGGCGCATGAGTTCGAGAAACCCGAGCAAAGACCGGCGACAATGCTGGGCAGTTGTCAATTCCGCTGGTAGTCAGGTAAACATCGGCCACCTTGCAGGTGGCGAGAGACCTCGACAGCACAGGTGCCTAGCGGTCTTTTTTTACAGTGCTGCTGCGACTAAATTCGCATCCCACTTCGCTAAATCTGCCAGAAACAGAGGCAAACTTGTCCAACATGCTAGAAGGGTGCGGCTCATGCCCAACCCCCCACAAAGCAAATTCGGCGAGAGGCTTCCTCGCCACGCGGCCAGCTGGCCATCGTTAAGCCATCGTTAAGCACGCTTCGAGTGCGACAATTTCCTGGTCCAACTTTGGCTTCAATGTGCCGGCGAAGTCGTGCACATGTACCAAGAAATTGTAGCGCTTGGCACGTGATCTAGCTGATGTTGCACTCACCTTCTCACCCCTTGCCTGCCTTGTTCAGCACTGAGCAGCAAAATGTGCCTGTAGAGGTGGTGCTGGCTATCTCCAGGAAAGCCGTGCACAGGGTTAGGCTAGGCCGGCCAGCATGGCGCCCCATGTTCACAGTTCACAGTGTGTCAGCATGTCAGGCAGGACCACAGCCTTAGGCTTAGGCTTGTCTTGCTTATTCTTGCTACCCGGTCGAAGTCTTGCCGGTTGTGCCCGGGCCCGGTTCTGCTGGTGAGATGCCGTCGATGACGGAGGTGTGAACTGAAATCCAGGCGAGGCCGCTGATCCGCTGACGGGCCCTAAGAAAGCCAAGTTACAGGCATCTGGGCCCAGTTGAGACGCAATTTGTGGGCCTCTCGCAGCGCTCAGCCCTGCGTGTTGCTTGGGCTGCATTGCTTTTGGCGTCGCCTGCATGCGTCCGAGTGCACAGGTTGCACAATGCTGGTTGGAAGGGCATTTCGCGGTTCTCGGCGTCTATGTGGCAGACACCCTTTTGCGACTTCGCCATCCTGAGGCTCTTCAAGACACACGTCGCTCACAAACGCAAAATGTTCACATGCCAGCGCAGGCAGCGCTTGCTGCGCTGGCACCTTGCACTGGAAGTACGTGCAGGTTGCGCAGATCACAAGCACAGTCAGCTTAAGTAAGTTGCAGCCACCTGGATCGTCGAGTAGAGAAAGAGCTTCGACATGTGCTCGTTTGATGGCCGGTCATCCTCTTCTTTCTTTTTTCCCATGCTGCTTCGAAAGCAAGCCCCGAGGATAAGGGCGGGTGCTCGTGCACTTGAGCGTAGCGGCGGTTGCTTCATCATTGCCAGTGCTCTCCTAGCAGACGTGGCGCAGACGAGCAGCGGAAGCTGCACTTGCCAGGAGCACAGGCTGCCCGTGCTGTCTGCGACAAAGCAACGATTCAGGACTCGGGGCGAGCTTGTCGTCGGAGGCACGGAACAGCAATCTCAGTTCAAGTCAATCTGCCTGCCTTGGTTTCATCCTGCTGAACAAAGCACTTGCAGTACTTAACCGGAAAAAAGCAGCCTTCATGCCTTCCATCCGTGACTACTAGTTTCGCTACGGGCTCGCAGGCAGCATCTGCGCGACACTCGGGATGGTGTTGAGATGCTGCTCCGAGCTCCTGATTTGGCCCGCTTGCTGTGCTCTTGATGTTGTGTGGCATTTGCGCCTGCAGCATGCCCGTCGTGCTGGCGGCTTCTTGCCCAGACTCAGACTGAAGGCAACGCCTCACCTGGTTCGTCCGATCTGCGAGAAAGGAACTCCAATTTTGCACAGGAGCTGCCTCGGAAGCAAACCTCGTGGCCATCTTGCTTGAAGGCTTGCCCATGTTTGATGCGACGTGGCTGAGTGTGCCTGCCGCCAGCAGGCGGGTCAAAGTGATCGTGAAGAAGCCGGCATGTTGAGAGCATGTTGTGGTGAGGCATGTCTACAGGCCTGCGAACCGAACCCAAACTGTTTGACATGATTGCAAGCATCATCTAACACACTTTTGCCTTTAAAGCGCCGTGAAAAAGGTGCAACTCAAGGTGTGTACAGATTTGAAGCCAGGCTTCCATAGCTACTCTCCTCCCGCTTGCGGGCTTGGTGGCTAAAGCTCAAGTTTTACAGAGGGGGACGTTGTGAGAAGGGTGGTCCAGAGGCCATAAGGCTTCCGAGACTGGGCTTGACTGCGGTGGCGATGCTCGCTCGCGGTCTCTAGAATCTCTGGAAGTACTAGACAGCATATAGAAAATGTAGATGTCAGTGAGGCGTTGCGGGGCATTGGGTGGGCTGGCTGGGTGCGGCAGCAGAGCGGGGGTCTTCCCCTTGCGCTCGGAGCAGCGCGCTGCACGCGGCACCGCCAGCCGCACCGCGAGGCCTGCATGTCAAAGCCCTCGGAGGGTCGGGGCTTCACCAGGCGAAGGACCGAGACGATGCGGTGATGGAGTTGGCACCGAGAACTCACTTGTGGATCGAGCCACCAGAAGATGAGCTTGCTGCATCAGAAGGTGATGGCATTCTATGGCTCGTGGCAGCTTTGGCACAGGTTTGCGAGGAGTACGTTACTGACTGCATGGCGAAGCTCCAGAGCGCAGCACGGCGACCACCACCACCGGTGCCGGTGCATCGCACGATTCGTGAGCCTGGGAGCCAGCACAGCCCTGGCTGCACTGCTTCCCGAGGACCAGGCCAGACTGTGATCAAGCTTGTGTTGCATTCCCATCCACGGCCACTCAACATCACCAAGGTTTGGTGACCGTTCTTGGCCCCACAATAGACCTGCGATATCAAATGCGCATGAAGGCCAGAAATCCGTGAATTAGTGGCATCAAGTGGCAAAGATGCGATGTCGGGCTCGGTAGGCGCCCGGTAGATGCAGTAGACCCTGGAAGTTCCAATGCGCGCCAGAAGCCGATGCGGTCAAATCCTCGGATGTACCAGCCTAGACTGCCACCGCTCGAGGACATAATGGACGACATGCCTGTCATCGACACATCGGGAATGGGCGAGACCAATTGTCACGAACAAGTGGCACGGGACGGCCCGACTGCACAGAACTGCACGTCATTGACTGGAGGGGCTTGCACAGCTGGGTTGCCCTGTTCCTGAGGGAGCATGGGATGGCCTGCTGCAAGCGGAAGGTGCTTGTGCTAGAAACAGGGCGTGGCGCCCGGCAAAACATGCAAGCCTTGCACCGTTCTTGCGATGGTCCCAGAGAGGGTGCCGGGTTGTTCGTGGTTCTGCCACGCGACTCCAGCTCGCCCTGACCGACGGTGGCTAATAGCAAGTTGTCAACGGAGAGAGATGGGATGGTATCTGAGAGCACCAGCTTGTTCAGGAAGCGCCTGCCTTGCACAATGAACTGGCCATCGAGTGGTTTGTCCACAGGCCGTCCTCATTGGCGTCGCCACATGGGCATCGCACGAGACATGGCTCAAGTGCCGCATGCCTCCCGGAGCAACGCTGGTACAGCGACGAGCATTTCCTGACTCGGCTGCCGTCCGGCCCTCACAGTCCTGCTTTCCATCCGACCGCGCGTCGTTGAGGCATCGAAGGTCGACTCGGGGATGTCAGACCAGGTCAAGGTCTCGATGATGTGGCGCTTCTGCGCAGTCCCTTAGTTTACTGGTTTTCGCATGGAAGGCAGTGCCTCAGCAATGCATGCCTCGGCAATGCACGTCGAGCAGCTCATCTCAAGCTGCCGGCTTCGCTGGCTCGGGTGCCCGCACCCAGGACCAGGGGCCGAACTAAAGCCGTTTCGCAGCACCGAGCAGCCTCAGGCCCCATTTCCCCTTCTGCGAGGGAGAGCCTGTGGTGTGAGGTCAAAGTGCAAAGGTTCGAAGTTTGATCGACAGCGGCTAGCTCGCTTATCCGAGCAGCTAAGTTTAAGCGGCTACTTGCACACCCGCGTGCGAAGCAGTTCTTCCCAATGCTCCTCACCATCACTCGCTGGCAAATGCCAGCCCTCAAAACCTGGCTTCTGCCACCGCACTCCCCCATGTGTCAGGATTGTGATTTTGCAGAGTCCTGCGCAAAAGCTCAATGGCACAATTTGTGGCAGGTGCGCCAAGCTGCCTTCGGGGCCCATTGTGGAGATCGGAAGTAGGGCAGGCCGCAAGGCGGGATTGATCATCGCACGCCGCTGGGAACTGCCTGGCTTTGCCTTGAAGATGGCAAGGTGAAGCTGTGAGGCAGCTGCCGGGAGGCGAGGACAGATTTGTCAGATGACGCGTTTTGGATCCCAGGAGTTTCTGCGAGTGAGGCGGCGTGAGCAGCGCCAGCTAAGCCAGCTAAGCCAGCTAAGCTTGCATCACTTGCCGACGAAGCTCCCTCCACATCCGCCACGAGCCATTCGCTGCTGTTATAGGCCCACAAGTAGGGAACCAGCGTGCGACTTTTGGCGTGCCATAGCCGCTTCTGAAGATGTGTCCATCAAACCTCTTGCGTGCGTGGCCTTGCTTGATATGGCTGCTTAGACTTACGACGCGACACTTAAAGACAGCGGCGAGGATTGGCGGGTGAGAGATGCCAATAGGCATTTTGCGAGGCGTTGCTAACTCCAGGGATGCTACGTGTGGGCTTGCCACAACCTTTGCCCAGGCAGGGCATCTTTTCCTTGCCTTCTTGGTGTCGGTGCAGATGGCGGGATGATGTGGGATGCAGCGTTGCAAAGCAGAGCTGTGCGAAGCCTCATCTGCACATTCATGCGTTGAGGCGCTGAAGAAGGCAGATTTCCGAAGACCCTCGAAAACGGCGCCCTCCAGCAGCCGACGTTAGAAAAAGCGGCCACGGCGCGCAGCTTCCGAAGCCCGGCATTGGTGCCTTTCTTCACCGTAGAGAAGTCCTGCAGGAACTGTATGAGCCGGCTGAGACTTAGAGCAGCGTAGTCAGTGCAGCTACAGTGTAGTGCGGTTCTTTCAAAGCAGTGACACGAGTTTGCTTGGACATCGCGGCGCTGGGATGGCCGCCCGTGCCCGGGCAGAAAGACCTTATAGCAAGCAAAGCTCGATGCGCTTTGCGACAGCCTCAGCAATGAAGCAGGCAACTTGCAGAATGTGTTTAGCAACCCCAGAAAGGAAGGTTCCTTCATCTTTCCTTGTCCAGTTGAAAATGCCATGATGCACCTTTTTTGCCAAACTTGTATCGTTCTAGCGAGCGCTTTTTTGGCTTCGCAAGGCAACGTGGAGAATGTGAGGTGAGGTTTGACCTCCGCATGAACTAGTCACAAGTCACGAAAGCTAGCCTCTGAGAGAGCTAGCGGAGTTATGTCAATGTGCCAATGATGGCTGTCAGAAGTCTGCGATTCCGTGTGACCTCAGCTCCGTGCAGGAGATGTTCACGCTTACTTCACGCTTGTGTTAGAGTAGATTACGTGGTTTCGCAGTCCGACAGCTCCTTCTAGTCAGTCGCGGTGTGGCTGGAACGCAGTCGACCAGGATCAAGACATTCCGTGGTTCGAGCTGCTGCGCACGGGCCGAGGGGGCACATCCAGGGGCACATCAGCAAGCCCATGAACAAGCGGTGGGTTGTGCTTGTCCTCGGTGCTTGCGCGGGGCTGTTATTCAGAGTGACTCCGCCGTTGTAGGTGCTGCACTGGGCTTCCAGAAAATGGGTTCCCGCAGCACCCACCGTTGAGAGACAGGGGGCCTCTGGAGATTAGCAATTTGCACTTTGCCAGCCGCTTTCTCCCGCGCTTACCCCACAGCGCAAGTGTGAGTCCATGCGATCGATTCCAGTGCAGCTGGACTCGCTCCTACTGGACGGCCACGCTGCTCTCGGCATCACGGGCTACTCTACACGTTGTCTTGAAGCCTTGGCTGAACCAACTTTCTCAGAGCCTGCTTGCAGCTTTGCTGGCGGGGTCCGCCACTGTCGGATGCCTCTGTGACAGGCGCTTCAGAGCAGGAAGCTGAAGAAGTTCAGAAGAAGCCTCGTGCACCGGTATTTTGAGGTCCACCTATAGAGCCAAATACACCATTGCGGAGACCATGCCGGTTATGATCAGTCAGCATGCGCAGGTTTCAAGCATGTTGACCACATGTCTTTGCGGGGGGCCACTTGACCTGGCAGCTGACTCATCCTAGCGGGTCTTGGCTGAGATCGTGAGATTGAGGGGCTGTTTTGTGATAAGCCGGCTCCCCGCTGTCGTTGCTCCACGTCAGCGTTTGTCTTGACTTCGTCACCAAGTGGCAGAGCTGCTCTTACACACTGCTGTCGCTGAGCTGAGTTCACCTCCGGGCGGAAGGCCTAGAAGAGTAGACCGCGTGGGCATGAAGCGAATCCACATGTCGTTTGCCGACTTTCCTTTAGCTGGTGCACTGCCATGGAAGACTGGACCTTGACATGACCTTGCCTTGAGTCGCTGCCTCCACCCTTCACAGAGGTTTCTTCCTCCCAAACCGGCGCATGCGTCCGTCTACATGTGGTTCCCTCAGTAGCTGTTCCCGAGCTTCCGGCCTTCCTCCGGCCAGCCTGCAGCGCCTGCAGTGCTTCTTACGCACGGCGAGGCTGAAGGGCAGGCTGGCCAGACTGGCCTGTGCGGAGCGGGAATTCTTGGCCAGCCGGCCGAGCAACAAGCTCACTTCTACAGAGATGTGTGGCAGCTCGTCGTGTTTTGCACTGGTCAAGTAGTTGGACACGGCTTTTCACAGTCCGGGCCTGAGCTATCTGAACGAAGTCCGTGGGCTGTCTCGGCTGACCTGACTTGCCTGCGATGAGGGGGGCACTGCTTGTTGGCTGAGGTCCGACAGCGCTGAACTCGACACGCAGCTCGTCACACCCGAACTTCTGTTTCCTTCCCTGCAGATGAAGAGGCAAGAAGCAATGATGTCAAAATGTCATCTCGAGCCTTTGATTTTTGTAGTTGACAGGCAATGGGGTCGGGCTTGCATGCATTAGCTGAAGTGGGCTGGAGGCAGTGACCTTCAAGAACATCCACAACAGCCACATCTCCCAGCTCGTCTGCGCGAGCCTCAGATCACAGAGCCATCTGGTAAATCAGGCGCGGCGTTCATGCATGCCATTTGGGTTTGTCCATTTTTGGGGGGGCCCAGGTTTAAGAAGGGCACACAGGTTGCACACCGGCGAAACATATACCCTGAAACACACCCCCGAAACATACCCCCGAAACATACGCCGTAACATACCCCCGAAATTGCAGGTAAAGTAGCCCATGATGCCGCGAAACATACCCGAAGCATACCGCGAAACATACCCTGATCCCAACACCTGTCGCCCGCACCCCCCCCCCCCCCATTATCGAACAAACCCATAAACAGCCATATACAGCGTAGGACGGCTTGTGTCGCACAGCAGAGAACATGCAATCAGGAATCGTCTGAAGGACAAGCAAGTAATTCAAGTTCAGCTGCAAACTCTGCGCAAATTCGAATTGCGCATCTCGGGGTCGCCATGACCGTCAAAGACTGATGTCATGACGATGTTAGAATGACGTCAGCGTTGTGCTTTCGGTGCCTTTGTTTTGCTGCCAGGTTTCAGCCAGGACGGCGAGGTGGCCACTGTGAAACGCCGCATCACCCTGCACGGCTTACCACGCCCGAGGTGAGGGTGTGTAAGGTTGTGGAATTGTCCCGACATGTGCTGACTGTTGGCCTGTTGAGAGGCCTGTTGAGAACGCAAGCGGGATGATGTGAGAGTATGGTGTGAGTGGCGATGATCTAGCGATCGCACTTGTGAGGGGATCAATGTCGTTCGTTCTCCTTCTTCCCAGAAGGCAAAAGAGAGTGGTCCTCTGAGGGAATTCACAGAAAATTGAACCGTCTGGCAAGACGTCGGGAAATTCTTGCAAACAAGTGTGCAGGTGCTTTCAGATTCAGAACTTCCCAGGCACGAATTGTGCGCCCCCCTTAGTGACCTCAGTGCTGCGGATTGCGGGTGATCTTGGAACACATGTTTATGTACTGCACCGGCGGAGTCCGGCGGAGTATTGAGGCATTACCTCACGACTGCTCTTCACAGAGGACCATGAGAAGCCACTATCCCAAGTCCTGTGACCTTTGCAGCTGCTGCAAGATTCACTGATTGCGATTGCACAGTCGCGCCGGCAAGTTTTGGTATGTGCTGTGCCGCAAAGCACCGGCGCGCCACTGTCCAACTGAAAAAAAGAGTCTTCGCCTGTGCCCCATGCATGAGAACTTCGACTATCGTAGTTTGTCAAACATGCACGAAACATGCATTCTCACCTCGCGGATGGTAGATCAGTGACTCGTAAACTGCCGACAACCCGGCTCAAGCCTTGCTGCCGCTGTCCGTGAAGATGGATGCGCTCGCAGCCGTCCTTTGTATGGCTTCCTGCCGTGCTTGGCCAGGCCGGCCATGCGCTCATGGCTGCTGCTGCAGCCACTGAGACAGGCAGACACCGTTGCTAAAAAGCCCCGTACAGTTTAGGATGCCGTGTTGCTGTTAGTCCTTACATACCTGGATTCAGATATTTATATAAGGCTTACAATTTGAAAGCAACTTTCCAACTTCGGCCGGCTTGAGGCTCTCGGCGACGATGCGGCAGCCTTCGGGGCGGCCTCGTACTGGCGAGGCGGCCGTGTGCAGGCGGCAGAGGAGCCGAACTCTCCGGCACCAATCATTGAAGTCGATCCTTGGCCCAGTAGATAGCGTACGCAGCTGGCACACACTCTTCAGCCACACAGGGTCAGACACGGCAGATCAGAGCATCGCTAGAAGGCCCCAATACCTACGAATGCACCCGAAAGTATACAATCGGGCCATCGAGAGAATAAGCATGCTTCTGGGGCACTTTTGCTGGCATTTTTCGCCCGTGTTGCTAAGGCAAATGGGCATTTACAGATAGATTATCAAGGAGACTCTCCTGCTCAAGAGTGCCTGGAGTACTATATCGACAAGTTGCGCATGGAGGAGCTACAAAACCAGCACCTGAAGGAGAAGCAGGCTGCAGGCCCCCGCCAAAGACGCGGGTCGTCTCGTCCTCGAGGAGTAGTCGTTTTCCTACTGATGGAAAATGCGGATAAAGTCTTGCACAAGGACTTGGTCCTGTCCCTCAGATGCTTGGCACGGTTCTTTTGGCACTACCCGGTGGTCATCTTTCACACCAATAGCACAACAGCCTTGGAATTGAACTGGATGCGCTCCGTCATTCCTGGCCAACTGCAAGTTGACTTTGAAGAAGTGTCCCTGGATTTTCCGGCATCGCTCCTTGAGTCTCCGGGTGGGCCTTGGACCTATCGACATACAACGGTGTTCTTGTTAGAAAGGCCTTGTCATGAACTCGGAAGCCATCCGGCAAGGCCAGATGCATTTCTGCGACCACCTTCCTGCATGCTTGATGGGCACCACCAGCCTCGGCCTTGTTCGGGGTTGCATTTCGCGGCTGTCGGCTGGGTTTCGTATGCTTTCGTGTTGAGAGGTGGAGCTTGCAACGCAGCTGCGGCTGCCGTTGCCCTGCTTGGCGACCGCAATGTTGGCCGCCCCACTGGCACGCTTGAAAGATGACAATCTGTTTCTGCAAAGTTCAGCCATGTGTTCATCTTGGCGCAATCTGTGTTCAAGGAGGTGTGGCGCTGCAACTCACAGATGTACAAGCTGAAAAACATCACAGTCTGTCAAACGATTTGCTGATTTAGTTCTGTGAGGGCTACGAAGGGGCTGGCGTCGCATCCGCAAGGGCAGGGGATGGCAAAGGCTTATACTTTGTTGCAATATTTAGTGCTGCCCATGTTAGTCGTGGATAGAGAAGCGGTATGTAGCTATGCTTCTCCGGCGTCTGCATGCAGCATCAGCTGCGTTCTTCACCGGCGCGCTTGCATCTGGTGACGCGGAGGTGGGCTTTACTTCGGGCTGCGCTTTTTGACATTGTTGTCCACCACTTTTGCGCTGCACATCCCCAAAGAAAGCGCCCACTGCCCGCCACGAGTAGCGCACAAAGCGGCCCTAAGAGCATCTAAGAGCACGGCTTTTGTTCATGCTCTTTCGGTTTTTGGCTTCGACGGTCGGCTTGCTCTGGAATGGTAGCAAAGGCCAAAGCATTCACCAACGCACAGGCAGCAGTTCAAACAAGCTCCGATTCCTAGTCCCTGGTGTCGCGCAGGTGCAGTCCTTCTTGTATGTCCGACTCCGTTTGAGTGCAGGTTGGTTAAGAATGTGCAGCGATAAGAGTATGACCATATGTGAACCAAAATGTAGAAGCTCCGTGACTCCGGACATATAAGGGCAACAGGAGCGCAGCCATCTTGCAGCAGTTGCTTTAGAGCCACTTCGCTAGAGTTCTAAAGCAGCACGTCCAGACAACAGCTTCAGCTCGACGTCCAGTCCAAGCTGCGCTGTCAGGTTCTGGCGCACTACGGCACATTTGACGCGCCCGTGCTGACGGTCACTTGGATGCAGCAAGAGTGATCGTGCATGATGTCCACGACGACCATTTTTTCGGCTGGAGCCTGAGTTGCACAAGGACACGAGCTTCGAAGAAGTCCAGAAGCATCTGCTGCAGGGAAGACCTTTCGTGGTGACTGATGGAGCTCGTGGTCTGCCGATGGCCGAATCTCGAACATGAACATTCACGTGGCAGGTTTAGGCCCAAATGTTGAAGCTTGCCAATGGCTGATGTTGGCATCTTCCCGCACAGGAATGGGACTGCGATTTCGTACGGAAAGAGTTTCCCGACTCGCGAATCCGCCATGAGGGTGGGTCCAGCGACGCTTAGCTTTCATTGTGCCCTCATGCTTCGCTCAAGTCTGGCCCCTGTGACACTTCGTTGCTACTGCAAGGAAACAAACGGCATACGGATGAACAGCAACTGGCCAGAGATGGCAAAGGCATATCCTGACGCTGGTGCGTATCCAGTTGGGGCCCCAAAGACGCGACCATTTTATTGGGACATTGCGAAGGCATATCAGGCTGAGCGAGAGCGAAAGTGGGGCAAAGATCCAAAGAAGGTCGTCAAGAAGATCTTGGAGACCAGTCAGGTCCCTTACTGGCTTCCTGAGCAGAGCGCGAAGGCCCCATGCAAAATCACAGTATGTTTTCCTTTTGGCGTTGCATTTAGTTGCTCATCTGCTACGCTACAGGAAGTAGACGAGGCCACCTCGAGACCCATTTCCCTAAAGCCGGAATGAGGAGATGGGCCACAGCTCAGAGATGTGGTTTCACCCCAAGGGAGCAGGTGCGCGTGCGCACATGGATCCTCAGCTGCAGCTGGCTCTACATGAGCTTCCACACGAGAGCACTCGCTGAAGTCCAAACCGGTCATTTTTATGGGGGGGGGAGAGGCAATACGGAAGGCTGCGGCGACTGAGGGGCCACCAGTAGTTGGGAGATGGATGGGGTTGTTTTGGTTTAGAGTGGTTGCAGTCTGAGTACTGAGGCTCGCGGGGAAAGTTTCACACACACACACACACTGGATCTTCAAAACAAGTGAATGCTGGCCTATGTGTCTTTTGGGACGAACCTGATTCGCATCACTTTGTTGGCCTTCTTGGTTGCTAAGTCGTTGAGGAATTGCAGAACCCCGAGGTTGATCTGTCGACTCTCGCTAAGACACATTGGAAGTGGTATGGCAAGCCGTTTCTACTCGGTCACTTCACCCTTGCTTAAGGTTGCATATACCCTGTTGCGTTCAAGGGGCGAATCGACCTCGAACAGTAGACTTCAGCATAGACTTGCAGGGGTCGGGTTGACCCTGGGCTAAGCACTCACTGCGTTCAATGGGGATTGCCAGATTCGATCTTTAATGCTCCTGCATGTTTCGACACCATTTTTTGAAAGCTGGCTTAGGACCCACATTGTTCCACGACAGTGTCCTTCTGCTTCTCGGGTCAGCGCAAGTGGCGCATGATGGTGGCTTTGCTCAGTTGCTTATATCAGTTCAGTTGGGGAGGGAGGGTCACTGTTAAGTCTTATTCCCTTACCAGCCTTACCATCTTAGCCTGAGGTGCCGCCAGCCGTGCCCCATCCAGAAGGCTACTTTGACGGTGAGATCTACGGGGCAAGGAATCCGTCCAGGCGTGGTGAGTGGGAGCCAACCTTTGAGCTTGTAGCGCCAAATGGCTCGGCAGTTGTCGTGTATCCAGGCATGGTTCATGAAACCATCTCTACAGGGGATGACTGTTCATCATCTATTTCGCAGACCTTTGCGGTGCCAACACCAGCAGCCTACTACCGATCATTTTGGCCACGATTCGCGCTGATTGGCGAGGACGTCGGTGGCTGTGGTCACGTGGTGGAAAGCTTGGTCACGCTCGGCAGCGGCGCAAAGGTTCGCCCAGCACCAGAGCCTCATGCAAGGAAGGTTGCAAAGCACTTTAATCACAAGGTTGACACCAACAAAGACGGCCGAATCTCAGAGCAAGAGCTCGAGATGGCAGGCCAGTCTCGCCGCAAGGGACGGGCACCTGGACTGGCAGAGCTCATCAGCTTCCACGACACCGATGGTGATGGCAGTGTCTCTTCTGAGGAGCTCATCGCAAGCTATGTTATGTTTGCCACTGCAAGCTTACAGGCATCAAAGCAGGGTCGAGGCCGCGATGACCTTTGACAAGAGAAGCAGCAGCGAATGTTTAAAAAGACGCACAAGTCGCAAGCTCTCTGCCATGGCATTTTCCAGTAAGTTGATGGGTTGAGCTGCACTTCTGAGCTGAAAGCCGATCAAAATTCCTGCCCCATCTGCGCACCATTGTCTAGACTTTTGATGCATGAAATTTGCAGACAGAAGCGGCTCAAATGCCTCCCGAAAAGAGGCATATCACGTATCGTGACGCATGGAGTGATAGCACGCCCTTACCGTCCGATCTGTGTGGACCTTACACTTGTTTTTGTGAGTTGTTGCAGTTGTTGCACGGTTCCGCATCGTGTGTGAAGCTACGAGTTGGGGCACGACCTACGGCGTCAGGCTAGCGGACTATGTCTGGTGGCTTCAAAGACTCCTTCACGAAAGAGGACACCAAAGAAGATGTGCTCGGCTATGACGATACAGCATTTTACTACTTCGTCGTCAGTGTACTGACTTGTGTAGCTCTGCCTTGGACGATAGCCTTTATTTACAGTTTTGTTCGTCGAGGGCACGATGCAGACAGCGAATACCCTCGAAGAAGTAGCGAGGGCAGTACTTTGCGCTATTGCCGGACAGCGGCCATGGTCGAAAAGGTGGACAAGTCTCGAAGTGAGGCCAAAAGATTTACGGCCAGAGCGGCCCTAAGTTCACTTCTTCAGTTTGTGGCGCTTTCGTTGATCTGGGCTGGCATCTTCGGTACAATGACGCAGTTAGGTCACGAAAAGGAAATTCAGAAGTTTGATCCATTTGTTATTCTGGATGTGCCCCCTACTGCCAGTGGTAGCGCCATCAAGCGGGCATACCGCAAGTTCTCCCTCATCTACCATCCGGACAAGAACCCGGACGACCCTCTCGCTGCATCACGATTCATTCAGATCACTAAAGCGTACCAAGCTTTGACGGATGAGATCGCGAAGCGGAATTGGGAGAAGTATGGGAATCCGGACGGCCCGCAGACCACAAAGGTTGGCATTGGTCTGCCTCGCTTTCTCTTAGAGAAGGAGAACCATTTGATGATTCTTTGCACGTTCTTCTTCGTGATCGTCTTCCTGGTGCCAATCACCTTCATTTGCTACTACCAGAATGCCAGGAACTTTGCTGCGAACGGTGTTGCCTGGCTGCTGTTGGCTTCGTCGTCTTAGACTCATTTCTCTTCTCGCGGCCAGGCCGTAAGCTACACCAGTCAGCATAGTTACCTGTAAGGTCATGATCGAGACGCTCCAGTTCCTGGGGTGCCTCAGCTTGCGAACTCGTCTCCGTGTCGCGCTCTCCCCCTCAGCCTCATCTTGTCACGAAAGCACGCCTGGTGCAGGGCTGGGGGGCGTGCTGCATTCGCTTTCTGCCGGGTAAGGTACTACATTGCTGAATCCGCGCGGGCAAAACATGGTCCGGAGCTTTTGGCCGCTTGTGCTGAAAGCCGGCTGATGGGCACTCGCCCCACGGACAACGCCGACATCAAGAAGCTTGGAGGAGCGAGAAGGGCAGGTTTCAGCTGTCGGCATGACAGTTGTCATTCGTTCCCCGAGCTTCCACGGTTAGTTTCGAATGCTGAAGGAGGGCAGACACACTTGCAATGGACCCCCATGTTCCCGCCACCCCTTTGGTGTTTGAAGGACACGTGATAGAGCACAAGAAGCGCGTCTTCACTTTCCCGGCTGTCATGAAAAACCAGTACTTGACCTGGGCTCACATGCAGAGACGTCATGGTCTGATGACAGCTCCTCTTCGCCAAGACTTGGATGAGTTGCTGGGGCACTCCATGAAGGTTACGCAAGCCATGATCGAGGTGGCCTGTATGAGAGAGTGGTTTGGAACAGCTCAGGGCATGATCGAGTTCAGGCGCTGCTTAGTGCAAGGTTTGGACATTAAGAGCTCCCAGCTGCTTCAGATACCACACTTCACAGAGAAGCACGTGGAGCTTTGCCAGAATGCATCCCCGCCAGTCACCTCTCTCTCCGAGTTTCTGGCTCTAGAGCCGGATGAGCGCAAGAAGCTGAGCCAACTGAGCGACACGGAGCTTTTAGATGTGGAGGCATTTTGTGGACACATCGGGCAGACCCTCATAAAAGCGCACATTGGTGTGGAGGATGAGTCCGAAATTGTAGTTGGGGACGTCGCCACGGTGAAGGTTCAGATGTGTCGAAAGCATCTGGCAAAAGACGAGGCTCAAGGGCCCGTCAGCGCCCCGCTTTTTCCCGGTGCCAAATTTGAAGAGTGGTGGCTCTTCCTGGTAGACTCTGGTGCGAAGGAGCGGATAGTGCACTTCGAGCGGGTGCTCGATCTGGAGCGCTGCATCGAAGAGAAACTGCGCTTTCAAGTTACGAAAGCTGGCGAGAACAAGCTGGTCCTGTACGCGATGTGCCTCTTGGCATCTCTTGTTGCATGGGTATTCCTGGCTCTTTCCCGCACTAGGGCTCGAGTCAGGTGTTGGGTCCATGGAGTCCATGCTTCAATTCAGGGAGAAGCTGAGGTGATGCCTACGCCGGCATGGACCACAGGATTGAGCTGACCTTCACTGCATACGCAGAAGAGGAGATGATGCGGAAGATGCCTGTGCATCAGGCTCGTCCTTGCATGTAGCGGTGCCTGCTAGCTGGGTTCACTGTCAGCCCTCTTCCTGCAGTCCTGCACAGGAAGACGAAGATTTGGATCTGCAGCCTACACTCTTTCAACAGTGGATGGGCGACTTCAAGGGCGACGAGAGCACCTTGCCAGACAATTGCCCGGTGTGCCCCTTTAAAGCACGTTTCATCGTACTTCATAGTGAGATAGCTGAGCGACTGCTTTGTGGAGGTGAAGAGGAGGAGGATGGAGAAAGGGAACCAAGAAGATTCCGGGGTCGTTCTGGCCACCGATCGAAGGCCGCATGAATGGCATCCCCAATGAGCCGCAGAGTCCAAGCTCATCAAGCCTTAACTTAAGATCTGTAGACTCTCGACCCTTATCCTGAAGCCCCTTGTTATGCTCACAGCAGTTGCGAATTGGTCCCGAACCGCCTCAAGCCTTCAAAGCCCCAAGCGGTGCGAGGGTGAGAGTCGAAAACCCGACCCGGGGTCAGCAAAAGCCAAAGCCTAAGTAATAAAGGTAGTTAGTTACAAGGACTCACCGGGCCTTTCAGTGAGTTTAGGCCGAGCAGGAGGCACTTCTCCCAAAGTCCCAAATCCAATCAAGCTGCAGAATTTGCTATATTGTTGTCCCGCAGTGTGAGGGTGTGCCAGTGTGCTGGGCGGGTGGCAAAAAGGGCACATTCCCATTTTGTTTGAATATCCGGTGTGATTACATGGCAAACCAGTGGACGCGTTTCTGATGCACTAGCTGCACTAGCTCTTTCAGCTCACATCAAGTGCAGGATGCAGGTGAGGATGCTCGGGAGACGGTGAGAGATACCAAGAAGCTGGAGCAGCCGAGCAGCATCCAGGTTTGTGCGGATTCCTTGCCCACACAGCCCCTCAAACTTAGTCATGGCCAAGGGAAGACGACGAGGACGAAGCAGAGAATGATTCTGATGCCACCTCTTCTGGCTCAGAGTGACGTGGTGAATCAGGTACAGGCCTCGCGGTTCTTTCTGTAACAACTCTTGCGGCTTTCGACCCTGTCAAAGATTGTCAAAGCGTAGACCTGCTAGAAGCAATTTTGCTCCAGTCAGTTTCACCACAGGTGCCGGTAAGGGAAGAAGCCTGACAAAAGTCTACAAATTGTTCCGTGCTGCTGCAGGTTTTCTCCTTATACCCTAAGGACCTGTCACGAATCCTCTGGGAGAACCCAGTCAGCGTAAGACGCTGTATACCATTATGGCGTGATGGCTCATCTGCATGGTCCCCGGAGAAACAACGTCGCGTCGATCAGGGTTTGCTGCGCGTGTCACTGATTATGCGTGGTCGTTGAACACCTCATTCCATTGAATCGTGACTCTGATTCCGCAGTTGCCAGGCTGAACTGGATGCATGCCACGCACTTCTTCACCGCTGGCGACACAGCTTCACAACTTCAGACGCTTGCAGCGTCTGGGACAGATTGTGCAAGTCTGCGCTATGATAGCGTTGTCTCGTTGATGCTTTGTGCCATTTGTGCCTGCGCCGTCTTGCACCTCAAGGGTCGGATGGAATGTGAGTTAAGCTGCTGACTCATCTTGTCGATCGTTGGCCCTTGCTCAGCCACTTAGTTCTTACCAATGTTAGGAGCCACGACAGTAAGCATGTCTCATGAGGCAGCATTGTGGCGTGGTGGCGCTGCTTTCGCTGTACCTGTAACCACTGACCCGGCATGACTTGGCATAGTTCCTTGCTCCTGGGTGTCTAGGCAACTCAACACACAGCTCCTGGGCCTTAGGACACCAAGTAAAGGTGGGAGGGAGCCATGGCCACCGGATATGACCGCGGAGCTCCCTCCCAGGTTGTGCAGAACAGTCTCCAAGCGAGACTGGACCAGAAGGAGATCCCCAAGTCACCCGGCCCGAGTTGCAAGCATCACAACACGCCACCTTCGGAGGCATCACTTTTTCGTGTTACTTGTAGCTCAGATCAGGTGGGTGTGCGAATGTGGTGCTGCGAACCTGTCGACTTGGACTCATTGTACAAAATGCAGCAGACCTCCCCGCGAGGACTTGCATCAGTACAGAATGCGTGTGCAGGTTCCCATTTTCAGGCGTTTTCGTCCTCTCCACCATCCCGACCACCTATCAGTACTCGTTATGCTTCTGGCTGCTGCTGTTGGTGGTGATGGTGATGGTAGTGGGTAGTGGTTGTAAGATCCCTGCGATGGAGCAGGACAGGGAGATGCGGATGCAAGCGCGCGCCGTCCAAGGTCTGGGCCGTGGGGGAGGCTCCTCCGATGTGCAATCCAGCTCGACATAGCTCGACCAAGCTTGTTTGACGAGTGGCCTGTTACAGTTCTTTTGATGGCAGGATACTTCGAGCGCACGACCACCGAGCAGCGGGGCTGTGAGGACTTGAGGAAAGTCAAAGGCGGCCTCGATATCTACGGCCGAACGCGAACGGGCGACAAGTCCCCAAACATTTCGCCGGCATCGCCTCCCAGCAGCCTACCAGAAGGCGGACCCCGAAATAGCCTCGTCTAGACCTCAGTGTGATGCGTGCGCATGGAGCTCCGGAGCAAATCTGATGGCTTGTCACTACTTCACTTTTGAGCAGCAGAGGATGCAGTGGGAACGCTGCCTTCAAAGACAGATCGTCAGAAGGCGGCACTTGAAAGGTTGCGTGCGCCCAAGAAGAAGCGACGCTCGTCAAAACTTGCAGTTCAAGAGAAGCCGCAACGAAGCTCCATCAAAGCGTGCGCAGATGTGAAGTTCAGCATCAGTCAGGAGATGACTTGTCTCCGCCACGAACACGCGTCTACAGAGCACCTTGGTTCTACACACCAGAGGCTGAGCTCGATAATTCGAGACACGTCAACCCTGTCAATCTTAAGGAAAAATCTTCCAGAAGTCGAAGTATTGAGAGACGCCGGGAGTCAAGAACTTGGCGAGGAAATTAGGCAAATGACAGAAGATCATGCTGTATCATGCTGTATCCGCTTTGGGGCATTGAAGGCTCGATAGACCTGCACAAAGACCGCGTTGCCTGGAGAAAAGGACAGGAAAGGGAACCTGTTGCTTGCAGCAGGGGTTCCTACCGCTGGCATTCAGTAAAGTTCACTAGCTGACTGGGATCGCATACACACCTTGTGAGTTAGACGGAGGGTGAAACCACGAAGCAGCTTCTGGAAAACCAGCTAGAGAGAGATGGACCAAAGGCAAAAAAACAAAGTGCAACGTGCGAACTCGTGAAGTGCACCTTGCCTTGAGCCTCCCGAAAAAAGGAAAGAATACAGGCCAAAAGTCCCTTAATCGGGACCCACAACGAACGAAAATACAATGAACATAGAGGCCAAAAGACAGAGAATCGAAGTGCGCTAAATGTCTAGCCGCTGATGTTGGGTTCTCCGTGGCTTCGAAGCAGAGGTTGGGTAAGGTGACACAGGACGAACAAACCCTGTTAATTGGATTTGGGAGCTCATGAACATGTACCTTGTGATCGCATGACACCAATGGTCATCGTTTGCATGGATGGCAGCTTCTTGCTCCCTTAGTTGGTCTGCATGCAGTACATTGCGGGCAAATGTTGGGGTTCACCTTCAGTAACACAAAGGTGCTCTGCAAAATCTGCGCAAAAATAGCTGCATCATGCATTTTATAGGTACAACACAACCAACACTCGGAATGTCAAATGCTGATCGTTTCTGCGAGCGAAAGATGCGCATAGAGAGTTTAACGGATGGAAAAAATGACCGACGTTGTGCATACCTTCCTGGGCAAAAAATATTCGTGGCGCTTTCATGGTGCGAATTAGTGAGCAGCAGCTTGTTGCGAGTGGAAAACACGCGCAAGCTTGCGTGCCCCAGTGGGTTTCGCTTGTGCATCTGGAGGTGATCATGACCTTTACACCCTTGGCTCAGGCTGGAATGTTCCGGACAAAGACCTTTCAAGATGGGGGTAGCGCGCTGAGCGGCACCACTCCTTGGGACTAGCTGCGTCAGAAAGCAGCGCTGAGGCTACGATTACTTCTTGCGGCTCGATATTGCTTTGACCTCGGCGTAACTTGCACAGATAAGTCCCGGGTTGCTAGCGAGGGGCTTCTCTTGACACGAACCACCTGACACCTCGCGACTTCAGTACGTTGATTTTTCGCTCGACATGCTTTGTGTCTTGCCGACAAGGACCTTTTCTTCGTGGAGGAGCCCATCTTGGATCCCTTCCAGCACATGGCAGAACCTTGGCGAAAGGGCAGAGTCATCCTTTTGCACTTTTGCACATTCCCCGATCTATGTAGAGGAAGGGCAGCGGAGGAAGGCTATGCGTCCCCAGCCTGGGACAGTGAAAGGGGGAACACAGGGCACAAAGGGCGGCACATATGCCTTTCCTCAATAGGGTAACATGGGTGACTTGGTGGCGACATGGCTACCCCCGCTCGTCGATGCTCTGACTGGGATCGAGATACTAGTTCCTGAGTATGGGGACTCTGCTGAGTCACAACTGCATGGAGCGGATTGGAGCGGATCAGTGGTCATCTGCGTGGACTGTAGCAGCGTAGCAGGGCTGCCTGAAAGCTGGTCCATCTATGCAGGAGCCTGCAGCCTATGTAGGCACACGGGGTCAGTGGGAGAAGTAGTTGTTGTTTACGTTTATGTGGCTTTCCGAAGCTGACCAGTGTGAGTTTGAGTCCGACAGAATGTGTTTGAGCCTGGGCGTTTTTCCCATCACTGCAGTGCCACAAATGGAAGCATACAGTGTCAAGTATTTGTTAAGTTAAATCCAGAAGCTCAGGACCATGGCTGTGTCATGGACCGGGCCCCGAGCTGTCCGCTGTTTGTTCGAATGCATTCCTTCCGGCAGGCCAGTGGTGACACGTAATGATTGGTGCAGGTCTATGACCGGCTGTCGCGTGAAGCGCCTGGTTGCTTTGACGACTTCGACCATCGTTGCCAAGAGTCGGAGACTGAGCACGGGCACGCATCCAGTCTGACATTTCTGATCAGCATCTTCATTGTAGTGGCACAGGCTGGCCAAGCTATAGTTCAGGCCCATAAAGCAAGAGGGCAAGCGATGGCAGGTACCTGGACAGGATGGAGTATTTTGGCCAACCCGATGTTGACATTCTTCAAGTAGGCAGCGATGCTCACAAGATGCTGGCAGCCTTTGGCACTCCCCTAGTGTTCGTCCTCACGCCGCCCTCAGCAATAGAGGAAGGTGTTTGTGAAGGCCCACAACAGCACCGGAGCACCTGTTTTAAAACAGCACCCTGTTGCAGGCCATGGTCCTGCAGCAGCCGGCGGCCAGTGAGCTGCTCAGCCTGGCATATTCTTCGCTGCACGGACATTGCATGTGCACACGAGCGTAGACCTTTAACGGAAAAGGCCGGGAAGAACCGAGGTGGACCATTGGTGATGTGCGGTTGTTTACCTCACCGAGGTGCGTGTCGCTGCACGCCTTGTGTGTTGGGTAGCACGCCAGTCTCAAACAAAAGGTACCTCCACTTCGCTGACCATTTTGCCAGCGGGATCTACTCGCACCGCTGGGTGAGCCGTGCTGGCATCCGCCCACCTAAAACTCTGATACAATGCGAACTTCACTGGGCCAGGCAGACCAGCTGATCTTGCTGCGAGGTGCAGCGCTCTTTGGTCCTCGGGCCGGGGCACCCACAAGCAGTTCTCATTGTGGCGCTAATCACTGTGGGCTGATGTGAAAATTCATCTACCTTCAAGGGTGATGCATGAGAGTGCAAGAGACCAGGCGTCGTGTGAACATCCTTTGTTTGAGAATTGCGAGCTGTTGCCGTCCTGGAAGCCGTGGGCTGCCCCGGACTTGCCTCAATGTAGGGCCTCCGCGCTGCGCACGTTGCGCCCAAGCAATGGACAAGGCCAGCAACAGTACACCGGACCGTCAAGACACCACGACACTAAGTCACTAGGCATGTGCCGGACAGTGTATCACTGTGTTCTCATCCACAAGACGTGAGATTTCAACAAGCGCCTCCGCCCTGGGCCGTTTGCTTTAGAGACGTAAAACCTCAAAGGAGAGTGGCAAATTGATACTGGTCCCAGTCTTGCGGCTTTACAGTTTTCCCGCCCTTACAGGCAGTGGAGAAGCTGATGCAAGCAGTCGTGCATGGCCAGGCGCCCAGACTCCTGGCAAGAACTGGCGAATAGCCACCAGTGGCCTGTTTCACACGAAAGGCTCCACGGACGACCATTTTCAACTCAGGTGAGGGTGAACACAACGACGGCGACGACGATGCCGACACTGATGCCGATGATGCGATGCTTCGCGTGCAAGAACTTGTAGGGAGCAACGTGAAGCTTCTGCAGGAGCTTGGCTGAACGCGCAGTGCATCGCAGTGCCATGCATCGAATCCGTTTGCAGTGTCACAGGATCTGATACGTGATGCAACAGCAGAGTCCTTCGCAGAGGATGAAGTTATTTTGCCCGCTGGGGTCGTGGCCTTAGAATCCTGCTCCATGGTAGAGAAGCACGTGAAGCATGTACACGGTGTGGGCCAACTGTGAGCTTTTTCCGGAGGTCGGCAGGAAAATAAACAAGCTGTGACTAGATGGGGATCATAAGGTACAATGTAGCAAACCCAAGCCGGCCTCACGATTCATTCCACATATCACATATCACTCACTGGCAACAGATGGGAGAACTGCGCAAACCATGTCAATGTGCTTAGTGTTTGTACTTACCAACACCGTTGCCTGGCCTTGCTGCAAGGAGCAGATCGATAAGATCTACTTTCTGCGATCTGGAGAAGCAAGCGTCCATGCTGCTCATCTCAAAGGCTCAAAGCAGGCTCAAAGGCGAGACCCGGCTTCTGGCACAGCGGGGTCATTGCAAGCTTAGCCAGTCGAGTCTCTCGCCTGGCCTGTGTGGATCTTTCCGGATTGAGGTTGGTGGTGTCCGAGTCGAGCGGGTTCCTCGCGGGTCCATTTTGGGACTTGCCGCTCTTTTGCTGCAAGAGGGTTCATCAATGTTCATCAGCTTGATCGTCGTGACATGTCTATTGGCAAGTGCTCTCAGGCCATGTTCGATACTCCTCAGCTGCCCGTCGAGATCCGGGCTGCCAGACCATGCCACTGCCGCGCCATCTCGCGCTTTGTAGCCTGGTTGGTGTTGGCATGTGCTGGTGCATTCGGATGAAAGTTGCCGTCTTTGCAAAGCTGAGTTTTCCGTAATACCACATATCGATGCATACCGCTTGGCTTCTGATTCCATATATGCCATATATGTCCTGAGGGTCTGCAGCCAAAGGCATTGGTTTGGCTACAGCAACTAAGGACTTTCATGCTGCGCTGCAGAACTATTCAGAGGACGGCAGGGAAGACCGCTCAACGATGCTTCACTTCCCCGATGGTACATTATCAGTGCTTCGTGTGACCCAAAATGTTTGGACTTTCTGTCGAACCGCCAGCTGTCGGACTCGAGCAATGTGTGGATCCATTGGGACAAGCTTCCAACCGTTGATCCAGCTACGTTGCTGTTGCCATAACTGTGGGCGTCCATGCTTCCTTCTATAGCCCTGATGCTGGACCTGTGCATTCTTCACGTTTGCTACAGGTCCGGCCTTGAAGTGTTCCCGTGAGGAAACTCTCATGCAATTTCAGAACGCGGGGGCCAAGATGCAGAAGCAGGCACTCTTGGCACCTGCTCGGCGTGTTTCTGTCGTTTGCACTTTTGAATTCGCCTGCGGGCAACATGAGGGTCAGACGGGACGCAGGATGGGGCAAGGTGGCAGCGCCTTGGGTCCATCCAGCGAACCAAGCGGAAGCTGAAGGCCTTCGCACGGAATTCGGTTATACAATGTTCTACGAGTGGTTACGCTGAAGAGAGTCCCCAAGAGAGAGCAGAGCAATGCCGAGCAAAGCTCCTCGGAACTGTGACGCCAGGCTATTTCTCACATGCGGGCTGAGCGGGCTTCTTTGAAAGCTGATGAGGTGCCCCTTGGTATGTGATGAACTCATGTGACGGGCTCAAAATGGCGCTGTGACCTCGATTATGGCCCTGCTTTAGGAAATGTTTCCGGGGGGTGCTGCGTCAGTTACCGAGGATTTCTGGTAACATTTTTGGCGGTCGGAATTGTTACCAGGACACCTCCCCCCCTAGGCTTGGTAACATTTTAGCTTGTGTGTCTTGCCCACGCAAAGACCTGCACATACGTGCTTTAGTTCTCTGTCTCTTTCCTGTTTTTGAAATGTTACACGGATTGTGGGGTAGGTTTGCATGTTTTTCCCCGATGCCCGGCGAGAGACCCGGAAATGTTACTGGTAACATTTTGGGGTCCCCCCCCCTAAGGGGAGGGCCATCCTCGATTATTTGTATCCTTCTTTTGGACATCTTTTCATGTATTATCTTGTCCAACTTTAGGGATGTGGCCTCGGGAAGCTTTCTATCTTCCAGATCCTTGTGAATTAACTTTTGCTAATGCACTTCCCTTATCTAATGCCGCTTTATCTTTAGGAAATGTTTTCATGAATTCAGAAATTTCATCACAAGAGATTATTTTCTTCATGTTGTGGTCATTCTATTCATCTTCTCTTTTACTAGCTTGCAGATTAAAGAATTTCGTATTCTCTCACATTCAAGTAATGATTCACGTTACAGTTGTTTTTTCTTTCTTCTTACAGCATTAAGTTTATTTCATCCAATTCTTGGTATTTCGCTGATTTTTCTTATCTTCGTTTGTTGTGCTCGCCAAAAAGCCTTTTTTTCCCTATTCTTTTAGGGGGCTTTTTGGGCACGCTTTTACAAATGTTTCTTCATTCGCGAGCAATTGTAGTAATAAGTAAACAAATGAACACACGCCCGAATCAAATCATGTGACGGGCGTGATAACATGAATACTACGGGCCAGTAAGGATATTATATTTCGGCCCGTATTTCGTTCATTAAGAGCTCCAATTTCATGCTTCTCTTCGTTCAAGAAAAATGGGCTTTTACTTCTCTTCATCTTTATTCGATTAATATCAACCTCTCCCGCGGGCACAATATGAAGTGAATAAAAAACCCGCGTGCTTCGTTCACATTTTTGATTAGTTTCACGCGTTCGTTCACTATGTCCACTCCTTGTAAACAAACCAATAGTGTTCTCTTCACCGAAGGAGTGAAGGAAAAGAACACTATGAACAGGAGTGAAGTGAACAGTCTTTTAATGAGTCATCCTGGTGATCACGCGACTTCCAAGACCAAAAGTATGCTGTCTTAAAGTTAGAGCAAAATGACCCTTAGAAGACTGGAAAGGTTGGGATTCAGTCTGCGACCCTGAGAAGTAATTCCAAGATGACATGCCTTTTGTTCTATTATAGGTGCATGAACTGGATGCATTAGATGACAGGAAGGGCGCTTTCACGGGGTCCTTAACAGTACTGAAAGCATGCTGGTGATGGTGTCTTTTGCCTATTGTCAGAGAGTGAGTTCTCTTGTCTAGCCGCAAAGAACCTGGCCTGGAGAACATACGAATATTTGTTGGTTATGATACTAGAAGCGTAGGAAGCATGCTATCTTAAGGTAACACACCAAAAGACCTGTTAAACAGAGGTGAGGCAGGGAACTTACACCAAAAGACCCATGAAAGCAGAGGTGAGACAAGGAACTTCCTTGATGCTGAGGCTATACTGCCTCAGAAACCCTTGTACTACGGTGTGTGTCAGGGTCTCAATTGTGGATTCATGGTTATAACTTGTGATGGTGACAACGGTGGACAAAACCTGGCCTGGAAACCCACTAAAAGGCCCAGAAGTTGTATTAAAAGGCAAACCTGCACGCTGTCAATGTAATTTATTGGACTTTTCTCTTTTCCCCCTTAGTTTTATACATTATTTTAAGGGGCTGCGCCCATGGGCGGGCAGCGCACGCAGAAGCCCAGGGCGAGCAGTTTCTAAGCATGTTGAGGCCCCCTTAAGATCTCTAAGCGTTAAGTTTCTAAGCATTTTCAGGCCCCTAAACTCCCTTCAAATCTCTAAGCGTTTGAGGATCCTAGACTCCCTTAACGTTTCTAAGCACTATTTATAAGGCCCCTAAACTCACTTTTTCCTAGCCCCGGGCTTAGACACGTCGCTTATGCCCGCCCTTTGGGGGGCATCATGCTCCTGATGCGCCCCCGGGGTCCCGCCCCGTGAGCCGCTGATGCTCCTGATGCGCGCCTGGGGGTCCCGGGCTGGACCCGCTGATGCTCATGATGCGCGCCCTCTGGGGGCCTCCGTGGCGACGCAAAAAACCACGAAAAAAAAACCGTTCACCGGCGGCACGCGGGGGTCGGCGGCACTGGCGTCCGGCCTAATTCTGCTTCGCAGAAGGCCAGAGGCCAGCAAGGCTATTCCCGGGACGACCCGGGCTAAAAGGTCCGCCAATGCTCGGTCCTTGGGGACCTCGCGCTGCCCGATTTAATGGCTACCGCCAGTGCCGCCGACCCCCTCCAAGGGGGGCCAAGGCACTGTGGGCTCCGGCCGCGGATTATGTATATATATATATATAGATATATGCGCAGGGCTTGGTCAGGTTGTAGAGTTCAGGGGGGCGAAACATGGAGCCCTGATGCGCAGGGAGTTGGGGCTAAACCCCAAATCTAAAACCGCAAACCGCAAACCCGAAACCCGCAACCCTGAAACCCCAAACCCCCACACCCTAAACCCCCGT